AGCAGCAAGCAATTATATGGAGATAAAATAATTTAAAAAAAACTTTTATAAGCAATTTGATGCGAAGATTATTCTTTTTTTAAATCTGCCTGAAGAGAGACAGTGTTTCTCTTCTTCCTTTCCTCCTAAAAGGCAATTAATCAACCATCAAGCCTACATGACAAGAAGCAGTAACATTGCCTAGAACAACATTATTCTCCCTGCTGAGTTCAACCTGCAGTTTACAGCAAGCCCTGAAATAAGAATTTTCGAAATAAGGCAACTTTATTTTTTGAAGCAGTAATCTTTCAGGCAAGACCACCAGTTGGATATAGTTGGCTAATTTTCTTCACAGGCACTATAAGAATAATCTCCTTAACTCTAGAGCCAAATCTGAATAAAAAATACAGGAAAACACCGCCCTTACAGGGAAAACCAAATTAGGTTTTACACATTGGGGTTTTTGTTTGTATGCTTGTTTTACTTCCTTGCTGTGTAGTTAATGTTAGTCCTTGATAGTGGAATTAAAGCGAGAAGAAAAGGTTTTAATGTTTTGAACTTCTGGGCTGCTAATAAAGTTAGTGTTGGAATAAGGTAATTGGTTATGCAAGAATTCGATCCACAGGCAACCTAATGAGAAAATTACATCAAAATCACACACAGTCAATGCCATGGATATGTCTTTATGAATCACTTGTAAATCACTACAAATTTTAATGAAGAAATTAATAAATTAATCATCCATTCTATGTAGGCAGGTACTCAACACGCTTTACACAATAGGGAATCTGTTTTCTGCTCTTATGTACCTGTCTATGCATGCATTTTTTTTCTGGAAAATATATGCACTGTTAGGAAATTACTGCTGAAACTGTCCACCCAAATCAGCTGGTCATTAATGGATGACCCAGCCTATAAATAACAGATACAGGTCCAGGACATGGAGTAAGTGGAGATGCAAGGGAGGGACATGGGCTGGAGGTACCTGAGAGAGTAGGTAAACCAAACTCCTTTCTTTCTTACTGGTTTTAAAAGATTCATCTTCACTACTCCCTTCAAATGTCTCTCATGCCCCACCTGCCACTCTATCCTTCTCTCAGGAGCAAAACTTCATCTTTCCTCTCTTATGGTGGCCTGTGTAACATTAGATTGTGAAGCAGTTAATAAATAAGCAGGAAATGACTGCCAGACCACAAAAAAAAAGATTGGCAGGCCAAAGATACATATAAATCCATCTAAAGTAAGACAGGACAGTTAGGATCCACAGTCTAATAGCCATAGTGGTTTAGGAAAGACAAACAACCCTTTCAACAGTTAATTAAATCAAGCTGGTGGAATATTTCTTGGTTTTCGCCACAGTGCAGAATGGTGGAGGACGCGTAAATAAAACTGAAGAGGATGCTCATGGCAAGCAACTGCTCACTCATGTGAGTAGGAAGCTCTGCAGCTGCAAACATTAAAGACTTGGATGTATTTAAAAGCCATCTAAATACTGTGTTCAGGGATAAGGTTTAGAAGTGGGCATAGCACAGTTAGATAACAGTTGGACTTGATGATCTTAAAGGTCTTTTCCAACCATAACAATTCGATGATTCTATGATTCACCTCTATGAAGCACTGGAAACAGATTTGTGTCTCCAGCTACTTTGCAACACGCCAAATATTAAAGACAATATTGGCAATATCTCATCCCTTTATATCACTAACTACAGAGAAGAAGTGGCCTAGAAATGAAATAATGGATTTTCATGGTGTTGCTCTTCCACCATGAAGCTCATTCTTTCTCTTTGCTTAGCACTTGCCAGGCTCAGATCTTGAAGTGTCCCAGGAAAAATCCAAGAGCAAAGGCTAGACTGAAAAAAGGACTTTTTTTTTCCTGTGTTTTTCTGTTCACCACCATGGTGGTTTATCTCGGGCTGACCTTGGTGGTATCATGTCACACTCAGGGACTTGGCCTCAGGTTTAGGCCTACTCTTCAGCAGGGACCAGGGCACCCAGGACTGTGGGGTGGGTTAGGGAGGGCTGTTCTCAGCATGGGACATTCTGCAGGGAGACCACAGGGAGGTGATGGTGGATGTATCTGCTGCCTTACCCAGAATTGCAGGGAGGGACTTCATTTCATTAGAAAGCCACTGGCTTTCTTTCCATTTTTATGCAGAAAACAGAAGAAAGGAGTTTGTTCCTTATTTTAAAACACCTCAGAGAAGAGAATTGAACCTGGATTTGCTGTAACCATGGACTACCACATTAAAAGGGGAAGTTTCAGTAGTGGAGACATCTCTGATTACATTTTAAAAGACAATTATTCTTCTGCAATTCCATCTTGTGAGGAGACCATGGTGTTGCTCTGAGCTGAAAGTTCTAGGACAGCATGAGGGAGACTTATAACACGCACTTGTTTAGTTCTTTCTCCTCTGTGAGTTTCTACTTATGAACGCTGTTGAAGACAGATGGCTAGGCTAGAGGGACCCTTGCTCTGACCTGCTGTGGCTGCTTCCAGTTGGTGATGATCTCAGTCACACTCCAGGAACACATAATGGATCATCCCATCGAGGGAAATGGCCTGAGTTGCACCTAATTTCCACATTCTTCACCTGTCCTATTTACCATGATGGAAGAGCTTCTGGGCAGGAGTAGAGGATGAAGCCTGCAGTGTCCCAGGAGGTACCTCCAGAGTTCACTGACATCTGAACTTTGGTTTTGAGGATCGCAGTTTTGGATCTAAAGTTTTAAATTCTCCCCTGGTCACAGTCTTGCAAGCTTTTTGTGAGTTTGACGAATGATGTTATTCCTGTTTTATACGGAAGGGAACCTGGACACAGAGAAGCAGTGGGTGACCCATGCTCTTGTTCCAAATGTCTCCTTCCCTAAGATTGATCATCAGTAACACTGAAAAAAAATATTGAATGAAAAATATATTACTCAGCACCTATTTTAAGGCAAATTATAGAGGAGGGCACTTGTAGCCTGTGGGAAAAGGCTGCCAGTTCAGCGTTGTTGTGCATGAAAACTTTTGGTCAGAATGTACTACATCCTTATCTTTTCCTCAGGCTGTTTTACTGAGCTGGTGAAAAACAGCACAGAGATGAGATGCCCTTAGATATAGCAGGTGGGCTGTTACCTTGAGAAGGTCTGCAGCGTGTTACGGAAGCACAGTCCTCTGAAAATGGAAACCTTAGCAATTCCCTCCCATTGATCCAGGGACTCTGAGGGCTACTGGGAGGCCTCTGCCAGCTGCCACTCCCCTGGGGGACCTGGCTGTCCCTGTGCCACCAGGACCGTGAGGAAAGGTGGCTGGTCAGTCGGCACTGCTCGCCAGCTCTCTGCTCTGATGGGGCTCTGCATCTCTCCCCCCCATCACATAGGAGCAACCTCTGGGGGTCTCTAAGACACACAAGGAGTCACAAGGCAGGCTCAGAGCTTCTTTCAGCCTGTATTTAATTTATCTTGAGAATGTAATCTCTTCAAGCTCTGAGTAGGAGGGTGTTTCTTCTTAATTGCTGGCCTTGCCAAACTATTCCAGGACCTGAGAGTCACACGTGGTGTGGCACACAGCCAGGTTCCGGCAGACCAGTTTCTGCTACAGGTTACACCTGTGCAAACACGATGTTTTGAGATTACTCCCCAAGCACCAGCTGTGCAAGCTGATTATTTTCTGCTAGCACCCTGCTCCCACCTGGGTGACCTCATTAGTCCTGACAAAAACTGCAAAACAGCAACTGTGGCCACTATTTAACTTTCTTGCTCTTTATGATGTATGAGGGGAAGTCAAGAGGGAGCTCTTTTCAAATCACATCATCAGTTTGCTTGGCTGGCAGCTAGACAAGTCCTTCCTTTTACTTGTAAACTGTGAAAATTTCACACAGACTCACTGACATATATTATAAACCTGGAAGCTTGCAGGGCTCTTGAACAGTGTTTCCTGCGCTATAGGTAGTGTGGGTTATACAGTGCCTGCAAACTGCACAAAAGCCAAATGTCAGTAGGAATTACACTTCTAAACCAAAGAGGCACACTGGCAGAAACTGAAAAGGTATGTAAGGTGAGATTGTGTTTTAAAGTGTTTACTTAATCCACAAAAAAATATGTTGAGAAAGCAAATGCACGCTTTGGTTTCAAACTTGAAAAGGTAATATGGTCAAGAGTATATTGCTGACATATTTAATGTAGCAATTGCTTTCTCACCATTACTATCAGAATGATACTGAGCATAAGAGATCATTAAAAAAATGGACTTAATAAACAGCATCTATTTTAAGTGCCTTCAGCCAGCCCTGGAACTTGTTTTGACTCTGAACAGCACACACCCCACACCCCACATTAGCAGCACTTTAGACCCCTTTCTGTTGGCTGGAAAAGACCCTGAGATACTAAAAATGCCTTGGTAAATCGCACCTAAAAGCTATGTTAGCAATCACATCTGGAGAGGAGAAATTTTATGTTCCTAAACACGCCACAATGCCAGCATGGAGCCTAGGATCCATGGGACCCATGGATCCTGGGCATCTTCACTGGGCTCATTTGTAGGATGCAGAACCTACAAGGTGGCCCTCTGCAACTTCAGCTGGAGGCCAATCTGGATTTCTTAGAGCATCTAAAATGACACTGAGCACCTGTGCTTGGGTCTGTGAGCTGTTCCCTTTCCACTTCTAGTAAGAGGAGAAGTTTCAGTTTTTCTAGTTGTTCCCAACAGTTTTTTTTTCAGTGAGACTTCAGTAAGATTAATGACATTTTCTGATATACCAAGTTCACTGATGCTTTAGAAACATTTAAATGTGTTGTTTTAGCAGAGATCGAAAAGCATAATTCACCAGTATAGTACCTACACCCAGTTAGGATATGAAGAGAGGTTGTCAGAGATTTTGACGTAAAAAAATTATTTTACAGTGCGTTGGGTAGAGCAAAGGTCCATGGTTAAATCCTTACCCCGGGAGACACGGCCCACACTCTGCATCATTCTCCTGGTCACCAGGCGTCATGACCGTGGCTCGAAAAAACCCCTCGCAGTCTTTGTGCCGCCTGCATATCTGGTAGCCTCCTCTGGAAAACTTCTCCGAAGGGCAGGGGACGCAGCCGTAGTCCTCATCTTTGGTGCCGTATCCACATGTCTGCAACAGCACAAAGTCACCAAAAAGCAGGCTTGTGCTGCATGCAAGCTTCTAGAAAAATGGAATATTCATAGTCTGGCTCATGGGCTTTGCAGGACAATGTCATACCAAAGGAAAACAATTTGTTGTTTGGTCCCTTAGCATCTGCCCTAAAAAGGCCACAGAGGGATATAAGGACCCAGTACGCCATGTCCTGGAGAGGAAAAGGGGACCCGGAACGTTGTGGTCCCTGACAGTGGCCCCCCATTGATATTTATATAAAATTTCAGCAAGTCATGAAAGTGGATTTCAGCTGCTGCTCAGCTAGGAAGTGAACTGAAAATTGAAAAGCAGAGAAGCAAATTACAGGGGAATTACAGTTGCAGCAGGGATATCAGCGATCTTGCTTTCATGCTTGGAGAGGCCAGAGGGAACATCACAAAAGGCAACGTTTGTATGAGATTTTGTAACCCTTGAACTCACATGTCTCAGCTGAACATTACGTTTAGATTAAATAAAACTAAAACCAACCAGTTATTATTCAAACATACTTGTTCAGGACTACCAACTGTGTGAAATTCTTGCAATAGGATGTTTATTCCATTAAAACCAAACAGGATTTCAGTAATTTATTTTTTAATAAGCAACAATTATCTGCTGTAAATCAAATGGTTACTTAGGAACCATAATTTAAAATGTTGCAGAAGCATCCAAGTTCCTCTAGTGCCAAAATATCTTAGCAGGAGAGTAAAATTAAATTTCCCATGTGGGGGGCCAGCAAGCATGCCAGACTAACCGATTTATCACACTATCCCGGAACGGCACCATCAGATTTTTAAATAACTCATGAGATGAGAATGGACTGGCAGATGCTGTGTGTGAAACTTCTACCTTACCTCTTTACCATGCTACTTTTAACAAGGCTCCTTCTGGGATAGGGTGTCCCAGTGTGCATGCTCGCAGGGGTCAGCACTCCTGCGTAAGCATCTCAGTCCTTCCCCATTTTCTCTCCTGTCCCTGTTACCACCATGTAATAAAGCACCTGGTTTTTGCATTTGGTGCTTAATACATATCCCCTCAACCAGCAGAAGAAGCTGAAATTACCATGTAAGGTTCTTCGCCTGGCTCACATTTGGGGCAGTCGTGGCACATGCCGGTGGTCTGGTTGTAGTATTCGTTCTCGCCACAGTTGGAGTATTCGGCACTGGCAGAGTATACCAGGGAGACCTGTCAGCAGAGAGCATCCCAGAGCATCATCATCACTTCCACCGCCTTCATCCCCCACGCTTTGCCCTCTCCCCTTGCCCAGCTGCTCAGAAGGCAGTGAGGCCGGTGTTGCAGCATGAAACAGAAGTGCTGCTGCAGGAGATGGTTTTCAGCAGCCTCTTCAGGCTAAGAGTTTCTCAGAGCACTGACGTTCATGCTTGCTGGCACAACTACTCCTCCAAGTATCGAAGGCCCTGATTCCTGACGTATTAATTCTCATTCTTTCCTGTGCAGCAAATGCCTGGGTTTGCAGCTTCACCCCTCCCAGCCCTAACAAGCCTTCTTAAATGTGACTGCGAGGGACAACTATAACAACTGGAGATAATGAGCTGCCTTGGGCCTCCACTACCACAGGGCTGTGCTTCACATGACATCCAGGCTAATTGGTTTTTCCAGTGCCTTCGGTCTCTGCTCCATCCTGGATCCTTCTCCTTCCCCCTCCTCCCTAGCAGCACATGCCCAGGTGTTTTATTGAATGGAAACACATCACTGCATCGGGGGTCAGTCCCTAAGTCACCTGTAGCTGTGCCAGGACAATTCAGAGATGTTTGCAAAGACCCAAGCAGAATGCAGTTGCCTTTGCAGGCCAGAGAGACTCATGCGCACATAAATACCTACCACCAGAAAAGGGAACACGTGAGTCCATTTACGTTCACCCAGGTGAGCCATGCTCTCTTGATGTTTTACCTGAAAAGACAGATAGAATCGGTGACTGTTTATGAGCCTGAGTAACTATTTGAGCGTGTTGCCAAAATAAGAACAGAAGAGCTCACAGGCAGAACAAAGGTTAGATGGGAGCGATGCCCGGAGGTCTAAGCAAAGAGAGGGGAGATGTGCACGTGCACTCGCACACATGCGCACACTGCACACCTATTTTGAGAAGACCAATGGCAACAGGAAGCCTAGTGATGCAATCTTCATAAAAAATCTGTCAGAGATGAGGAACCAATTCCGAGCCATGGCTTTAGAAATCCTCCCAGCCTGGCTTGTCTCCACACTGTTTAGTGCTTGACCCCGCTAGATCAGATTTCTCTAGGAAAGATCGAGGATGGAGCGGCCAAATGCAGAGCAAATCAGTGGCACACCAGGGCTGCCCATTCTTTGCTGGCTCTTGCAGGTCCACCAAAAAAGCCCAGAGCTGCCTTCTGTAGGAAGCATCAGCTGCTTTTTGTTCTTGATAAGTAAACTGCAGATTTAAGACATTAGACTCGAAGAAGAAGCCAAACTTTGTATTTGAATTGCTATTACAACAGTTGGGGAAAATAAAGGCTGCAATCTCTGTTATAAACACACATGCTAATTTATTTCATTTCTTCAAATGAATAATTTTGAATAAGAGCTGATGTTACATATTCATGTACTGGATTTCTTTCTAAGCGGAAAAAAAGAGACAGGAAAAGGAGGCACAAATCATTTCGTTAGCATGATACAACTTATTTAATGGTACTGTTACAGCACATAATATGCTCTAGGGGCTTTACAGCTTCAAACTGCAAATGTTTGAGATAGATACAGTTGCAACACTTTGGTTCTAGCAGATGTAAACTACTCTTTAAATTTTCCAGGTCTCAGAAACTGCAAGGCTTTTAGTCTCCCAGAAAAGCACAATTACTGCTTTGTGCCACATTCGAGCATACAAACCTACATAAGAGCAGCACTCTGGTATTTGAGATAGCCGCTTACATTTACATTTTTAAACACTAAGTAGATTAAGCAAAGATAATATCACTCCAGCATCAAGCTATGAACTTGCTTTATATATTCCTTCCGGCAATTGGGCTAGCTGAGACAGGTAACTGGGTGGGTGGGTGGACAACCTGAATCATGAGTATATTTGTTTCTACAGGAAATTGCACTTTGAAACCTAGAAATAAAAGAGAATCTGAGATAAACTGTCCTAAATCTGGAGGTAAGAAATGGAAAATAGTAATGCAATTGTATAAACTGTCAGACATTTGAGTTGGATGAAGGGTTTGGCTATGACAGTGCAGTTGCTTGGAAAAGTTCCAAGGATATAGTCTTAACGCATATGTCTGTTAAACTGAATCCCAATTATAAAAGAGATTGTTAGATTTTAAATATTAATGTTATCAAGACTGTGTCTCCACTGATACTGCAAAATGATCGCATTTGTTATAAATTGGGTCTGAGGCTCCCCAGGACCAAAAATTTCACTTGAAAAGTGAAAAGCTTGAATCTGTAACTTTACAGTAGAATATATCTTACAGTAAAAACATGCTCCAGTTGCTTTCAAGCCATCCAGATGTTTGCTGTTTGAGGTACTTGTATGCAACCATAGCCAGATTTGAAGAATGGTAATGAAGAAGCGTAGCCCATTAATGTATAATACAATCTTCTCCATCCATTTGGCATTTATTTACATAAAATGTTGAAACTGTCTAGTTTTACATGTATACATAAAATATCTCTCTGTCTCTCAATATAAATATGCATGTGGGGTTGTGTTTTGTATGTAAACATACTTTTTCCCCGCTGCATTCCGTCATTATACATAGCAATATGTCAAACATATGGGAAATAGTTTTTAACTGGAAAAAAAACAGTTCAAAGTGCTGAATACGGCCAGATTAGAACTGCAGGGGAGACTTTTCCCCCAAACTGGAATAACAGAAAGTTATATTAATTATTCAACCTCTGATTTAAGTACACTGCCATAAACTGGCAGTGTTATAGTCTTGTGGGTTTTTTTCCCCTTCTTTGGAGCTAAAAATCAAAATGCTTATTTTACTTTTATAACACAGGAGTGAGGGAAGGCAGATGCAGAAGGTTTCTGGCAGTAGGACCCTAGGTAGCTCCCCATCTGGGATGATACTTGACGGTATCTACCAAGACATGACAGGCTGCTCTTTGGCTTGCTGTTTATTTATATCTGCACCGTATTATCTCTCATGCATTAATCCCATCCACACAGCAAGGGATCTTCTAGAGCTAAGATTGCTTTTGTCTCTAGCCGACATCTTCAAAGACATGCGAAGCTTGGACAATCAGCCAGCTTCTGTTAAGAAGCAAGAAAAAGAGGGTCCAGTTATTATGGCCCCTAATCATTAAAAGCATGAATGAATTAGCAGAAGCTGCACCTTTCCTTTGTATTCTGCCGTGCTTTGACTAAAGCAAATTACTCTCTCCTGCAGGTGAGTGGGAAGGAGCTGGAGGCGTATTATTGCTGGGACCACGCAATCGTTCCTAAGCAATTTGGGATCTCCAGCAGCTCATGGGCTGAGCCCTCTGCAGATCCTGACTCCTGTTTTTGTTTAGGCTGCGTGGGTGTCTCCGGAGAGGAGGTGTAAAACACAGACCTGTGTCTCTGTGGATCAGGTGTGCAACACACAGCAAGCCTCGTCATGACTAGAGGGGGTTGCTAATTACAGCCATATTCACCTTCCAGGGCATATTCGTTAATAGCTGTTAAGAACATACACATAAGATGACAGGGAAAGGAAGACTATTTTCCCAGTGGCAACCGCAGCACAAAATGCTAGAGACACCTTGTCTCAGCTTCTCTCCTGTAGACTGCAAGGCACAAATTTGGCCTGGGGTAATAGGAAAATAGACGCCTGGAACCCTATTACTCAAATATTTCACCTCCCAGACGAAAGGCCCTTCTATACAGTCTTTGAGGCTTCTTACCAAGAACTGGCAGATACAAACACAAAAACAAACAACAACAAAAAAAATATATCCCCAGGCAGAAAATTCTTACTTCATGCTCTCCAAAGGATAAAAAGCATCATTTGCAATAGTCAGCCTTTGAATTTGATAATCTACTTAGATGATAATGTAGCACTGCCATGATACTAACAGTATCCACGGGTAAATGGAGTAAACATAGGGAATGTGCAAATAACGAGGTTACTCGAGCTGATGATCCAAGATAAAGCTCACAGTTTTCAGTGGATGATCTTAGCTGTTATTCTAGTTCTGTGGCTTCAGCATTAACATAGTGGGAATGATAATTTTGCATCATAGACTTCTTGGTTTAAAAAGTTTGAAAAAAGGAGGAAAACAAATACATTGATTGAAGTACAGAAACACATGATCCTTAATGTTGTAGAGAGCGTTTTTTTCCTTGGTATCTCTGCATTTCTTTAATTTCATCACTGACATAGATCTACTTCAAGGACACAAAACTTGACTTTGTGAGAGGGAAAGGCACAACTGCTGTGTCAGACGTCACGATTTTGATCTCTCTATGCGCATTTCTTTTCTGGGGTTTTCTAAGCAGCAGTTGGGTTAGTAGATCTGTGATTACAAACATAATTCCTGAGTAGCTGGCAAATTGGTATCAATCACAAATCTACTTCCAAGGTCTCCACCACTAGCAGCAGTAATGCAGTTCCTGAGGTTTATGAGAAAAACCTTGTGAACCACCTTTTCCACAGATTATCACACTTTTTTGCACGGGCTCAGCAGATAATCTTTGTATGCTCCTGAGGCTGCTAAATCCCTTTTAGCTGTGATAAGCTTATATAATCCTAACTACAGGGCCTCACAGGTTTTAGACTTCAGCAGCAGAGCTCAGTCTGACTCTGGTCTCATAAAAAGAGATATGGTCTGAGGTTTTTTTTCAGGAGAAAAAGAGGGTTCCCTGAATCCACCACCAAACGGCAATCATGGCAGCACAAGCTTGAGGAGAGAAAAAACTTAAAGCATAAGCAAAGTCTACGGAACAGCATGGAAGTATGGAAACACAGAGATGATGAAGAAAATTATTTTGTAGCCTTGGTTATGGTTTGTATTATTGTGAAAAAATATTGCACAGAACAATATTACATTAATAGGACAACATGAACTAACTGTTTCCCATAAGTGTTTTTATCTCTTTGACCTTACAAATACCTTAAGAATTACCTCAGAGAGAGATGTAAAAATTGTTAAAATGATACAACTCTCTTCTTCCTTTTACCTGAAACATCAAAAGGAAGAGAGAACAGCTCAAGCTACACATAAAACTTAAACTGCTTCTGTGATCTGGCAACTCTGTCAGAAAAGTAATACATTGCTAGGGCACAGAAACAAGATTTTTTTTCCAGTGGGAGCTGCACTGACAAGAGGGGAAATAAAAGATTCTTTGATTCCTTAATGGGGGCACCATGCACTGAGAGCTGAGAACGTGGTGGCAATCAAGCCTAATGAAGAGCTATCTGTCTCTTACAGACTCTTGTCTGGAAGCTACGCCTGGAAGTCCCTATTTTTGAATCTGCTTTCTCACCTTACATGAAGATACGTGTTGGCACTCGTGTAGGTGGGCCATCCACTTTCTGAAAAGGTTTTCAGGAAAAAAAAAGGTTATGATGAACCAAAAATACAAGAAAGAAGGAAAGGCTCTTTTCAACATACTTTGCGTGGTTGGCATGTGTTCCTGCACAAATGAGGGCACTAATGAGGTGTGTGGGCTGAGGGGATCCTGGGGTCTCCCTGTTTGGCCCCAGGGTACCCACAGATGGCTGGTGCCAAGCCAGTCACCTCCCTGGCCCCCTTGCTACCAGCATGGCCCCAATTTGGCCTCCTCCAGGCTGATGTTATTCTCATCTGCTAGCAGCATCCCTCCAAAAGCCAACCCAATCTGACCAGGGCTGCCAGAGGAGCATGGTGGTCTCCATCCCCGTCCCAAAATTCTTTCAGGGCACATGGCTCACAGGAAAACCTTCCTGCTGCCCCA